AGCAGAATTCGCTAAATCATCAGGATCAGGATACCTAGGCTTATTAATTTTACTCGGTGCAGCACCTAAATCCAAATGTCTCGGCCTGGACGACATGCCCAGACTATCTTCATGAAAACTTTGCGTTAAATGATTTATGGGTTTCTCATAATCATACTCCGTTTCTTTTGATGAAAGACCCTGGTTTGTATTCCTCAAAGAATCCACTGGATAGGAGTAGTTGACGTCGTCTCTTAGTTGTAGAGGATCACTGAGGTAAAACAATTAGAAAGTAAATAAATTTAAATACAGTAGAATCCGATTAGTATGACGCCGGATATATTGACAACCGCTTATTATGACGTAATCGCATTAGGAAGTTTGGTTTCCATATAAAATACCTTAAAAAAACAGCTGTCTAGTCGGATATATTGACATCGCTTACATTGATATGTCGCTTATAATGACCCATTTTTGCAAAAAAAATATGTCCATTTATAATGACCGACATGATTTTACATGATGTGGCCAAGTCTACGAAAGCAATTGCTATGTCTTTTGTGCACAATAGAACTAGAGACAATTTTTACAATTAACTAGCTGTAAGTGGAATTCTGTCTTAAGGCAATTAGGGCATCGTGCCTTAAGGCAAATTGCTGGAACTTCCCGTACCTAAAATTATTATTTTTTTTAAAAACGATTAACATTTTTGAAAAAAATTTACTTCGAAAAAATAAGATTTTTGAGAAACTATAAATTGGACAAAAAATAACTTTTTTTTGAAAAAAATTTTTTTTTTAAAAATAATTTTTTAAAAAAATTTTTTTTTGAAAAAAAAAATGTTTTCTTTATTTTGACATATTTTGGAAGATCTGAACTTGTTTTTCAAAGCAATCGTACTGCTTTAACTGCATATAGACAAAATATAAAGCGCGTAAGCGCGGCGTCGCTGTCTAACGGGTAAACATTGATACGGAACCCATAGGAAAAAACAAATTTATACTTAGTTAAAATCTCTATAAAATATCTAAAAATTTGATGTGCATATGTCTAATGATCATTTTTGACCGCCAAATGGCATTTTTTTTACTTTTTTCGTTAGATCTCCGAAACCGCTAGACCTGCCTTTATGAAAAATTGATCAATTCTTTATCTTGTCATTACAAATAGAATGTTTTTTTGAATTATTAAAATCGGACGCTCCGTTCTCTTAAAAACTGAGTTACCGTTTTCGGCACTTTTTGCCCCGTATCTCCGGAACGGCTAGACCTGCCTTCGCCAAAAACTAATCAGCACGTCTCCTTATCAATACGAATCGAATGTTTTTTTAATTATTCAAATCGGTTGATCCGTGTTCCCGAAATCGTCGACGAAAATTTGTATCCGCATATACATACACACACGCACACACACACACACACACACACACACACACATACATCCATTTTTTCTAAGGTATGCCAAAATGTTCAGAAACCTCTGAAACGTAAAGATATATAAAAATTGTCATTTTCGATTTTTTTGCGATTACTATAACTTACCCTACGGGAAGTTAAAAAATGTAAAGAAATCAATCAAAAATTTCTGATTACTTACATTAAAAAATCACATTTGTATGTTTATGAGTAGGGTAGACCAATTATTAATGGTCCACCACGGATATCTCGCAAACAAATAAAATTAGATTTTTTTTTCAACAAAAATATTTGATAGTAGAGGGCAAAAAACGTATAAATTCATAACCAGCCATCACCTTTATTCTTATGACTTTGCTATCAGAAGATAAGCAGCACATGAGTGGGATAAAAAGGACCAGCACCTTTTACCTTTAGCAACCTTTACTTTGGCAAAGGTGTAAGCAATAAAATAGTAAAATTTAAAAAAAAGCAATTTTACAAGAGATTAATTAAATAAATTGTTATTCATAATATTTATTACAAATAGCAGATCAATGTAATATACTGTGTTATCTTTGTAACAAAATGTACCCACAGAATTAATATTTTGCATTGGTTCAATAATTTAGCGTAAAATCTCTTTAATTTAATAGAAGAAATTGCATCTCTTTGCCCCCTGGTTGTCCCAGGTAAAATGGATCAGATACCAAATTTTAAAAAAATAGTAAAAAAAATAATATTTATATAATTAGGAATTATGTGAAATTTTTTCTGTACATAGTTCGATAGATGCTTGTTTGATGTGTGTTATGTGTTGCAAGATTGTTCATTGGGTTTAGACAGTATAATTACTGAAAGTCAAATTGGACCTCTGTACCCCGCCTTACCCTATGTCAATTTTATTTTTTATTAAATTTTAATGTGTCATTTTTATTTTTAATTAAAACGTTTGTATAGGCTTTTCTTTTGAATTACTGAAACATGTAACATGTTTACATATTAAAAAGTTTTTCTTCAGTACGCTTATAATGACGACCGGTTACTATGACGAGATTTCGGCGTCCTTTCGATGTCATACTAAGCGGATTCTACTGTATTACAATAAGATTTATTAATTTACCTGTATGTGTCGGAAACCATGACGCCGTTTTTGACAAAACTTTTTGCAGGATATCTGTTTTGAGATTCTGTTGGAATATTTGGAGCGTCTTCTTTAGGCAGTTCCATTTTTGGTTTACCTGTACCTTGCATTGTTGATTGAGGCTGTCTTGAGAAGTCTAGAGCGTTGTATTGCATATTCGATTTGTAATCTGAAAAAAAAAAATGGAATTAAATACATCTATATATATATATATATATATATATATATATATATATATATATATAAATCCCGTGTCACGATGTTGGTTCGCGATGGACGCCCAAACTACTGAACCGATTTTAAATTTTATTGGCTCATCGTGTGCATATATATCCAACTTAGGTTATAGGAAATTTTGAAAAGTAAATTTGAAACATAAATATATAATTTTTATAAATTTCTAAAAATTTTGACAGAAAATGATCAAAAAAAACAAAACACTAAAATGACAAATGTCAAAGTTTAAGGAAATTTCGATATATAATTTTTTAAAAAAAAATTGACATTTCAAAAAAATAAAATTCAAAAACATGTTCATATATAGAAATATCCAACATTTAAATCTAAATTTGATGAAATGCTATATTCAAAATCAATGTTTATAGTTTTAAATCTAATTAAAAATCAATGCTTAAAAATTTATATAAATGTTGACATGTAAAAAAATTAAATGTCATTTGTCAATATTTATGAAAATAATTATATAAATAGATTTACGATTTAGATTTAATTGATTAGCTTACCAAATTATCTTGGAAATCAAAACTTCATCAAAACATTATAGATCAGAGATCACAATAAAAAGCGGCATATTGAATTTAAAATTAATCATAAACAAATTTTGACATTTCACAAAAAATATTTAACGACTTTCTTAAATAAGAAGCAAATAAATTAATTATTCCAAGTTATGTTATAGGCAATATTGCCAAACAAATTATAGATACAAAACGTTATTGTAAAATAAATATTATCATATTATATTAATTTTGGACCAAGAAGGAAATATTTTGACATTTATAAATTTAGTGCATATTGGATATATGAAATTGACATTCACTATTTTTCAATTAAATGCAAATGTAAAAAATCAAATATTTATATAAAAAATTGTATATTTAGATAAAGATACTGCGTTGATTTAGAGTAAAATTTAATTTATTCTTTAATTAAAAAAAAAATGACATAACGAAATTAAAATAAACAAAACACTATGATGCGTTGGAATTATTTATCGGAGTGTAAAGAAATTTGTGTAATTAAAATATAATATTATTATTAATATATCAGTTAAGATATATTTTGATTGTCATCGCAAATGCTAATCTTACAGGAAATTGTAACCTCTTAAATGGAATAGTACAATCTGAGGGTATCATTGGAATCTGACAAAAACAAACTAGACAAACTAAATATTATATCATATTATATTAAATTTTGACCAAAAAGAAAATATTTTGACAGTTATAATTAATTTGAAATAAAATGCGAATTTCAAAAATCAGATCTTTATGCAAAAAAATATTTATTTCCACTTGTGTTGATTTAGCCAAACTTATGAATATAACAATTATATAATTCTTCATTGATGACTTAAAATAACTAATAATTTATTAACAAATACATAATATTTGAAAGAAAGTTTTATTGACATATATGACATGACAAAAGTATAATAAACAAAAAAACTATGATGCGAGTGAATTAATTTTTGAAGTATGAAATGTCCAATAATTTTGAAAATTATAACAAGTTTTTAACTATTTGTCAAAGAATCAGAGTCCAAATCTAATAAATATTTGATTTTTGGCACTTTTATTAATTTTTATCAATTTAGGCATATTTTTTATGGCAAAACAACGTTTGCCGGGTTAGATAGTATATATATATATATATATATATGGCGCTGGTGGGCCATATATTATTAATTAATTAATTCTTGAATGAAATCGCAATAATTTTATTTCAACTCGATAATGACTGTTTATTAATGTCTCAATTGATAAAGATGTTGATATTACATTAAATCAAATCTAAATTTCGATCACGAGAAAACGCTCGTTGGCAAAAAACTCGATACAATATTTTCGATCGTTTTAAAAAGCGCGACAATAATATTCGATCGTATAAAAACAATCAGATCGTTATAGCTTGCTTGATGCCAGATCCGAATCAACGTAGCCCAATATAATTTAGTTTTGTCATCAATTGACGTTATTCAACTGACATCTGTCATATGGTGTTCATTCCGCCATTGTCATCAATTGACGTCCTTCAACTTCATATGGTGTTCATTCCGCCATAGAACCAAAAATATGGAGGCTTAGTCCATATTAATACCAATTGTAGTCATAATAAATTTCATAAAATATTATTTATATTTCGTTTATTTTTATATATGATTAATATCCACGACACTATGTGTTGTCATACTGATCATTAATAAAACGTTATTGGTATTTTCTTATTTATAATAGAAAAGAAAGGTTTCAAGAATTATACATTTTTTTGGCAAAAACTACTAGAGAGAAACAAAAGCCGTGTCCGATCTGACACTTGAATTTATTTTTGTTTTTTTTCTGTGCTGTCAATATATGGGCCAATCTGTCCAGTAACATGTGATGCGTGTTGACGAGCCGCGATGCGTGTTGACAACCCGCTATATATATATATATATATTGTATATGTATTATCTTCTTACCTTGTTCCATCTCTCCTCCACCACAAGACGTCCCCGGCTTGTGCAAATCCCTAATTTGGTTCCTATCGCCTTCATTCCCAGTTCGCCGACAATCCAAAGGATTCGTATAATTGTATTCGACAGAATTGTTTTGTGGACTAGTAATCAAGTCCACAGGATTCGAATAGGAGTCTTCAAGCATCCTTGATGTATTATCGGAGACTTGTTCCGGGTTGGTGAGGCTTGTCGGTGGTGTCATGTTTTGCTGCTTTTTGGCCAACGCTCGTTGCTTTGCACGTTCTTTGGCTCTTTTGGCTTTTGATCTTTCCTGGGAAGAAGAAAATTGATATTTGGTTAATTTTAAAAATAGATTTTTGGCGATCTGTGTGCACGAGTGTCGCATATAGACGACATCCAGTGTGTCGTTATTTAAGTCAAAATAAATAAATAAACCAGTTGGTTTGGTATTTAGCCTTAAGGCAAGTTACATGAACATCCCGATATGTGTAAATAATCGACTTAATCAAGAAAAAAATGAGTAAATAATATACTTCATCAATCCTACTTAAAAAAAAAACGATAATAATTTTAGCAAAGTTTGACGAATTTTTAAAATTAAACTACTTGTCGTAAGGCCGTAATATTACAGTAAGTTCTGTAAGACCATGATGTATATCGCCAAAAAAAATTTCCATGAAAATCGGCTTAAATTTTTTTTCAACAGTTCATTACAAGAAAACGGCTCGGTGGATTTTCACCTAAAATTAATCAGTACCATTCCCAACTAATATCTTTCGAACAGTTTTTGATTTTTTAAAATCGGTTCGGTAGGATGAGCTTAATTGTGGACGAAAAGTTTAACACTTTTTTTCAAATTGCAAAGAAACGGCTTGGCAGATCGTCGCACAAAACTGAAAAACGATAGTCCTCACCGAAATACATCAAATGGCTTTTAAATTTCTAAAATCGGTTCAGGCGTTTTTGAGAAAACGTCGATCAAATGTCTAATTTTGACAAATGCCAAAAAACGATACCAATTTTTGCAAACTTAGACGAATTTTTAAAGCTAAACCAGTTGTCGTAGGGCCGTAATATTTTAGTATGATCTAGAAGACTATGGTATCTACCGTCAAAAAATTAATAATAAAAATCGAAAACTTTATTACAAGAAAACGGCCCGGCCGATCTCTACCAAAAACTAATCAGCACGATTCCCAACCAATATCTTTCGAACGATTTTCAAAATCGATTCAGAATTGCGGACTAAAATGTAGACGAAAATTTTTTCACTTTCCTGCGATTTATAAAGAAACGGCTTGGCCCATCGTCGCACAAAACTGACAAACAATAGTTCTTGTCAATATACATCGAATGGCTTTTAAATTTTTTAAAATCGGCCCGGCCGTTTTCGAGAAAACGTCGATTTACGGCAAAAAATCTGTTCACACACACACACACACACACACACACACATACTTTTTCCAAATTTGGTCTCATTCGATTCAGAATGGCTTGAAACGTCGAGAAAACATAAAATTAGAGAATCGGATTTTTTTATGAAAACATAAACTTCTTCTTCGGGAAGTTAATAAAATGAAAAAATAAATATTTTATCATCCTGACAAGAAAAATTATAAGTAAATTTTCAACTTTTGAATATATTTTTAACTTCCCGTAGGGCAAGTTATAGTAATCGCAAAAAATCTAAATTGCAAGTTTGTGCAGATCTCACGTTTCAAAGGTTTCTGAACATTTTGGCATACCTTAGAAAAAATTTTAAGTTTTAATTTTAATTTATTTTCTGAAAATGTTTACAATATATCCCCTCCAATAACCGTTTCAACTCGGTTCGATTAGGTTTTGTTTATATATGTTAACATTTCTTGTAAATATACATAAGTAGTTCATTGTTCATAAATTAATCAATGATTGATTTTTATGTTAATTGTTTATTTTCATTTTTCGAATATTTTATTAATTAAGGTACGGGAAGTTTCAGTTAGAGTTTTATTCACTAAAGAAGGAACAAACTGGTACTCAAAACGTATGAAAGTCTATTGAATTTTTTTTTGAAACAATTTTTTTATTAATTTTCTGGATGTTTATCAACACACGCCATTCATTCTAACTCGGCTCAATTAGGTTTTACTTATATATGTAAATTAATCAATGATTGATTTTTATTAATTGTTTCTTTTTATTAGTTGTTTTATTCACTGAAGAAGAGACAAACTGAGTCTCAAAACGTATGAAACCCTCTCCATTTTTTTTTTTTTGAAACATTATTAAGCATAAGTAAACATAGTTGTTTGTAATCGCTAGTTTTCTTTTCGAGTGTTTTATTCACTGACGAAGGGACAAACTGGGACTCGAAACGCATCGATGTGTATGTGAGTGTGTGTGTATAGATACAATTTTTCGTCCACGTTTTCGGGCGCATCAACCGATTTGAATGATTCAAAAAGCAATCGATTCCTATTGATAGGGAGATGAGCTGATTAATTTTCGGCAAAGGCAGGTCCAGCCGTTACGGAGATACGGAGCAAAGAATGCAGAAAATAGAAATCGAGTTTTTGAAAGAACAGAGTATCAGATTTGAATGATCTAAAAAACATTTAATTAGTAATGATTGGGAGAAGTGTTTATTAGTTTTTGGCAAAGGCAGGCCCAGCCATTTCGAAGATACACAGCTAAATGTGCAAAAAATGGCAGTTTTTGAAAAAACTAAGCGTCCGATTTAAATGATTCAAAGAACTTTCTGCTTGTATTGACAAAACAATTGTTTTTGAGGATAAAAAATTATTACAACTTTTTTTATTTTCCATAAAATATTTTTGTAATTTTGGATTGAAAATTGAAAAAATTACCCAGGCTAAGCACAGTCTAAGCGCCACTCTGTATAATTATACTGTTTAAAAGATTATACTGATTAAAAGACTGCAATTTCCGACAAGTATATCTTATGCTATAAATCACAAAGGCAGACCATAAATTTTTGTGTTATAAATTTGGAAAATCAATGTTTTAGTTGTAAATAAACAAAAAATCATTTATTATTATTATCTTACCCTTTCTTGAAGCAGCCGAGCCAATTCCTGGTCCTGGGCTTCTATTGCAATTAATCTGTCTCGATCTAATTGGACGTTACGGTCAGAACTTTCTTCTTCTTGTAATTGCCTTGCCAATTCCTGTAAAGCAATTTAAAAAAATTAAAGGTATCAAAATTACTTTGAAAAATCATAAGAAAGACATAAGAAAAAGTGAAATAGATAATTATAATTTTTTTATAATTTAATTTAGACTCACCTCTGCTCTAAGAGAGTTTTGTAGAAGTCCATGAACGAGTGTCACTCTAGTCATGATTTCCAAAATACAGGGACTACGAGCACACTCGCTCGAAGACAACACAATTTCCACATTTTGAGATATAAAACACAAATCAATATTGATATTAGTATTAGCATCAGCATATTAAACTAGTTGATATTGGTATTTAGCCTTGAGGCAAGTTACATGAACTTCCCGATATGTGTAAATAATCGACTTAATCAATAAAAACTAAATTAATTTATGATTGGATTTATTACGCAAACGCAAAGTATTTTCTACGAACACGTAAACTCGAAGTATTTTCTAAAAGTAAATTTTCAAAAATCAACAATTTATATAATTGAATCAGTTTCCGCAAGACTTTAATGGTTTAGTATGTTCATTAAGACCAAGAACTACTATCGTTTTACCAAGTAAATCCTCTAATTTTAATTTTAACAAATGTCAAAAAACTACTCATTTTCTCAAACTTTGATAAATTTTTAAAATTAAACGACTTGTCGTAAGACCCTAATATTTCAGTAAGCTCTATAAGACCATGATATATCTCGCTAAAAAAAATCCATAAAAATCGGCTTAAATTTTTTTTTCAACGTGACAAAAATAGAAATGTTGTAAACATGTCGTTAATAACAAACTCTGAAAATAGTGGTATCAATATCTATACCAAGCTACCTCTGTTATCACACAGTTTTGAGTCTTCAAAATCGAACTATATTCGACAATCAAAATCACCTGGTTAAATTAAATTCTTAATACAAAAATATCTTTCAACATATTAATTTTGATCTATCTAACTAAATTAAAAATAATATGTGCGCATTATTCATTAATAGCATACAGGATGCTCTCAAATTCATAAATCGTGTAAGGGGTATGCACCCATTTATAATAATTATAAATATAACGGTCAGAATACAAACTACGCAGTATTCTTCGTGAATCATACATACTTTACAATGTATACGCAATGGTTCAGAATTGTTTAAGTGAGTTCTTCAATTTAAATTAACCAATTTAACTACATATTTTAATATTTTGACTACATGACTCTTCGGTCGAAAGATTAGCGCATAAATTACTAATATTTTCAATACAATTTAAGCTATACATAACGCATTAACATTTTAAAACACATAGATTGTTTTTGAACCTACTACACATTTGGAAGAAAATTTATACCAAATGCACATTTGTGAACGATCTTATTCAAACATTTATAACGATAAATGGAATGAACACCATATTTTTTTTGCTTCACAAATATCTTTTATCTAGATAGAATTTTCAAAATTGATTATTAAATAAAATTCTATAAAATATTCTTGAACCGATATGTGATAATTACAAGAAAACGGCTCGGTAGATTTTCACCTAAAACTAATCAGTACCATTCCCAACTAATATCTTTCGAACAGTTTTTGTAGAATGAGCTTAAATGTGGACGAAAAGTTTAACACTTTTTTTTAAATTATAAAGAAGCGGCTTCGCAGATCGTCGCACAAAACTGACAAACGATAGTCCTCATTGAGATATATCAAATGGCTTTTAAATTTCTGAAATCGATTCAGGCGTTTTTGAGAAAACGTCGATCAAAGGTCTAATTCTGACAAATGTTAAAAACGATACTAATTTTTGTAAACTTTGACTAATTTTTAAAGCTAAACGAGTTGTCGTAGGGCCGTAATATTTTAGTATGATCTAGGAGACTATGGTATCTACCGTCAAAAAAATAATAAAAATCGTCGAAAAATTTTTTTAACACTTTATTACAAGAAAACGGCCCGGCCGATCTTTACCAGAAACTAATCAGCACGATTATCAACCAATATCTTTCGAACGGTTTTTGAATTTTTTTAATCGGTTCAGAATTGCGGGCTAAAACGTGGACGGAAAATTTTTCACTTTTCTGCTATTTATAAAAAAACGTCTCGGCCGATCGTGGCACAAAATTGACAAACGCTAGTCCTCATCGAGATACATCGAATGGCTTTTAAATTTTTGAAATTGATCTAGCTGTTTTTGAGGAAATCTGTTCACACACACATACACACACACACATATACTTTTTCCTTAATTCGGTCTCATTCGATTCAGAATGGCTTGAAACGTCGAGAAAATATAAAATTAGCGAATCGGATTTTTGGATGAAAACATAAACTTCTCCTTCGGGAAGTTAAAAAACATTGACTCGATTAACATTTCTTTAATAAACTAAAATTTCCATATTAAAAATTTAACATACAATTTACAAAAATATACAAATTTAAAATATTTACATAAAAAAGCTCAACAGTCCGTACAAAATAGCATTAAAAATCTTTCGACTTACGGCATCCTTACGTTCTTGCAACAACCGTTCATCCAAATCATCACCACCTCGATGTCTCGAACTTTCGGGATGATTCGATGAATATTAACCCTTTCAAATCGTTTAGCCAGATCAGAACCAGGAGGCAGCCCCAGATCATTATGCCTAACTGGTACATCAATTTGGCTTCATCAGAATGGTGAATGGTCACATCTGTCGGCAGTGGCGGCGGCGGTCCTCTATAACTGGGGGCTTGGTGATGGAACTGATTCAAATTCACCCCGTGATCGATCATTGTATTATTTTGGCTAGTCGAAGGCATCATATCGAAATTGTGATTTGCTCCTCTTTCCATTTGTGATCGGTGACTTATTATTGGCAAAGGACTGTTTCTGATGTAGTCTTGTGTTAGATGAGCCATGGGGCTGTGGCCGTCGCCCATGGGGCTGTTGGGGTCGTGTAAAATTGGGGGAGATGCAGGGCTCATGCTGCCACTTATATAACCACCTGCCCCTGTTGGACTGGAATGGATACCTGGAGGAAAATAACTACATGAAGCAGGAGTACTTTGAAAAGATATGTAATAATAAGATTAGTGATTTAGATCTATTTTTTCATATGGATACTGCTTTTACTTTTAAACAGAATTATGTCTGTAAATGTATTAATGATACTGCACGGTATATGTCCTAAAACTTCAAAGAAATTTTTGTAAGCCTATAATATTTCAAGCAAATTATAATATCTGTAATTGTTTTAATCGTGATTTTTATTCATTTTAAAAATTCATGGAAATGATCAGTTGAAAATGGTGCTGATTAATTTTTGTCAAACATCGGAAGTTTTATAAGCTTACGAAAATTATAAAAATTCAATCAAGTTTATTAGAATGATTGACCACATGTACATATCATGTGTTATTGTTTATAACAGTTAATAATTTTATAAAACTGCAAAATTGTTCAGTAATTTTATAAAACTGCAGAAACTTTCAATAATTTTATAAATTTGCAAAAACGTCCAATAATTTAATAAAACTGCAGAAACGTTCATTATTTTTAAACATTTGCAGAAATGCTTTATAATTTTATAAAATTATAGAAACGTTCAATAATTTTATTAAATTGCAGCAAATTTCCTAATTTTATTAAATTGCAGAAAATTTCCCAATTTTATATAAATGCAGAAATGTTCAATAATTTTATACATTTGCAGAAACGTCCAAGAATTTTATTTATTTACAGAAACGTACAATATTTTCATAAAACTGCAGGAACTTTTAATGATTTTATAAAACTTGAGCAACGTTAAATAATTTTATAAAATTGCAGAAATGTTCAATAATTTTATGAAACTGCAGAAATGTCCAATAATTTTTATAAAACTTCAGAAACGTTCAATAAATTTTTTAAATTGCAGTGAATTTCCTAATTTTATATAAATGCAGAAATGTTCAATAATTTTATGAAACTGCAGAAAGGTATAATACTTTTATTCATTTGCAGAAACGTTCAATATTTTTATAAAACTGCAGAAACGTCCAATAATTTTATAAAACTGCAGAAACGTCCAATAATTTTATACATTTGCAGAAACGTTCAATATTTTTAAAAATTTACAGAAACGTTCAATAATTTTATAAAATTGCAGAAACGTTCAATATTTTTAAAAATTCACAGAAACGTTCAATAATTTTATAAAATTGCAGAAACGTTCAATAATTTTATAAAATTGCAGAAACGTTCAATATTTCCATACATTTCCAGAAAAGTTCAATAGTTCATACATTTGCAAATATAATAATTAAATAATTTTATATATTTAATTTCTACATTTAATTTTTATACGTTCAATAATATTAAAAAATTACAGAAATGATCAATATTTTAAAAAAATTGTAGAAACCTTCAATAATATTATAAATTTGCAAAAACGTTCAATAATTATAAAAATTTGCAAAAACATTCATTAATTTATATTGCAGAAACGTTCAATAATTTCATACATTTGCAGAAACGTCCAATAATTTTATAAAACTCCAGAAGATTTCAATAATTTTTAAAAATTGTAGAAGCGTTTAATAATTATATAAAATTGCAGCAACTTTCCTAATTATATGAAACTGCAGAAACATTTAATAATTTTATAAATTTGCAGAAACGTTCAATAATTTTATACATTTGCAGAAACGTTTAATAATTTTATACATTTGCAGAAGCATTCAATAATTTTATAAAACTGCAGAAACGTCCAATAATTTTATTGTATAAAACTGCATGAACGTCCAATAATTTTACAAAACTGCAAACGTCAATAGACCAAAAATCGTCTAAACACATTTTTCTCAATTTGGGTGTCAAACGATTCAGAATGACTTGAAACGTCTAGAAAACACAAAATTAGCAAACCGCATTTTCTGACAAAAATAAACTTTGTCCTTCCCTTTTGGTCAATTATAGGGTTTATACAAAAACCGACATTTCAGAAAACCAGTTTTCGAATTTTTAATTTACTAAAAAACCGGTTTTAACGGGTTTTCAAATTTTATATAGAAAATAAATTTTTGCTCGAACATTCTGTAATTTATCCGCAAATTTAGTGTAATTTAGAGTAGTATTTGACTGAATTTATTTATTGTTCAATTTTATGGTTAGTAAACAAAATTATTTTAATTTTAATTAGTAGAACTAAAAAATAATAGTTTACCTTGATCAAATAACTTTGAAAATAATTATTCGTTATTCATGCATCATATTCGCATATAAGAATGAAAATATTTTTATGATAGTGAAAGGAAAGTTTTCGAAAAAATAAAAATTATACATTTTTAAATAAAAAATTCATTAAATTAAAAAATAAAAGTAATAAAATATTAGATACATGTTGATACATACTTGTTAATATCACTTTTAGTTTTAAAAACAAGCTAAACTTTTATTTCTGTTCCGTGCAATTTTAATTAATTAATTTTAAACATTCTAATTATTTTTTACTACTTAGACGTGTCCTTTGTTTACTCACAAAATTTCCTGAAATAGAAAATACTCTCATACTTGCCACCGAACTATGCTTAATTATTTTTAAAGCCTGATATAATAATTCTAAGTTTTTTGTTCTTTAGGTTGTGGCTTCAAGAGTTTAAAACTCTTTTTTTTAAGTTTGAGTAGAGGAAGTTACTTCTTCAAGAAGAAGTCACACTGATTTAAATTAATATATACACTGGTATAAAAATTTAAATTAATATATACGAAACCTTTCTGGGAACCATTGCAGACTGATAAGATATTTTACCGATATGATTTCAAGAATCAAAACGCTTTCATCTATCTTTTATATTTGGTTATATTTGTCATTTTCCATTTATACAGTGAAAACCGACTTTTTTCACTAAAAAACCGGTTTTCGGATTCCATAATTTTCGCCAAAAAAACGGTTTTTGAAAACCGACAAACCCTAGTCAATTACCTGAGTCGTTGTAGTAGTCGACCGCATCAGGTGGTATGGCAACCCCATGTGTTACCAAATGACGACTATGGTCCAGAAACGAAGAAGGAGAATTTTGTTGACTACCACTACCACTTGGTGCAGGTGCTGGTAACCTTTGGCCACTATGTTTTCTCGAATCAGTCGACGGAGGTTTTATTGAAGTCTTGTTGATTTGCGAAGACGCTTCTCTCTCCTGCTGAGGAAGCAGAAAAGTAACTTTATTACTATCACCATAATATTATGACTGTAGTGGATATAATATTTTTTTGTTATTAATTTTCACCTGCAGCCTTCGTGCAATTTCCTTGTCCATTTCTTCAGCACGTCTCTGCTGCTCCCTTTCATCCCTTTCTAATTTTTCTGCCAATTCGCGCGCCAATCTGGCATCAGCCTGCTCCCTAAAAAATTGAAAAAATAAGAAATTAGATAAAAAATTAGACTACCACTGCATTGGTTCAAAATTAATACAAATTATACAAGTACAGTATTTGCAACATAATACATTAGGAGACGATTCAACACAAACAAAAATATTATGAAAGGAAAATGCAGAAACATCCTAGCCACCTGCCCTGGAAAATTCTAATTATGAAATCTAAATTATAATGCCAGACTTCTAGTAACACTTACTTATTGAACGTTTCTGCATTTTTATAAAATTACTAGCAAACCCGACGAACTCCGTTTCGCCACCAGATGGTTTCGTGAGAAAGATGAAGAAATTTTTTGTTTGTTTTATATTTGAAAAGAAAAAATTTGATTTTATTGCACAACAGTAATGAATTTATTTCGATTACAAAAATGAAGTGTTTTTTAGTTGAACTTCTCTAAGTAAATGAAAGTGAATCCGCAAATTATCCGTTTCATTGAAGTGCTCTTTGGTAAACCACATTTTTTGTTTTTTGGTCTGAGGTTAACACAAACAAAGCTGATGGATTTCCAACTCGTGAACAGGCAACGTATAACTGCCCATGTGAAAAACAATGATTTTCTAAATTATCTGTTTGAAATTTATCCCGCAAACACGAAGCGATTAGCGAACTGGAAATTGCAATCGTTTAAAGTCAAACGGAAGACCAGTCGGAATCATTGGCATGTCACCAAATCTCCAGCAATTTTTGATTGAATGGTGAAATTCAGTGCGTGTACATCATTATTCTTTGCGGCAAGAATTGCTCGTTGACTTAATTGCAAGCATAATTCTGATAATTTTAACTAATGTCATTACTCGAATTTTTAATTACGGTGCGTGAAGTTCCAGCAATTTGCATTAAGGCGGTCTTTTCAACGAATGCAAAATTTCCAAAATCGGTTTGTGCGTTCTGGAGTTATTTCGTCAGAAAGAAAAACCCGACTTATTTTTATATATATGTAGATTAAATATGGTTACAATTTAATGAAATTATTGAACGTTTCTGCAGTTTTATAAAATTATTGAACATTTCTGCAGTTTTATAAAAATTATTGAACATTGCTGCAGTTTTATAAACTTATTAAACGTTTTTGCGGTTTTATAAAAGTATCGACTATGACTATAATTTTATAAAATTATTGAATGTTTCTGCATTTTTTTAAAAAAGATGAATATGGCTGTAATTTTATAAAAATATTGAATATGGCTGTAATTTTATAAAAATATTGAATATGACTACAATTTTATAAAATTATTGAACGTTTCTGCAAATATATCAAATTATTTGACGTTTCTGCAGTGATATAAAATTATTGAAAATTACTGCAGTTTTATAAAATTTTTGAACTTTACTGCAATTGTATAATATTATTAAATATTTCTGCAGCTTTATGAAATTATTGAAGGTACAGACATTTTCAATAATTTTATACAGTTGAAGGAACAGAAACGTTCGATAATTTTACAAAATTTAAAAATATACGAAACATAAAAATATTGAATGTCGTTGAAATTAAAAAAAAAATTTATGATGCTGTAATTATATAAAAATATTGAATACGGCTACAATTGTATAAAATTATTGAACGTTTCTGCATTTTTATAAAATTATTGAACGGCTACAATTTTATGAATTTATTGAAAGTTTCTGCATTTTCATGATATTATTGAATGTTGCCTGCATTTTCATGAAATTATTGAACGTTTCTGCAGTTTTGAAAAATATTAAACATAGCAACAATTTTATAAAATTACTGAACGTAGCTGCAGTTTTATAAAATTATTAAACGTAGCTGCAGTTTTATAAAATTATTAAACGTAGCTACAGTTTTATAAAATTATTGAAGGTTTCTGCAGTTTTATAAAATTATTAAAAATTACTGCAGTTTTATAAAAATATTGAACGTTTCCGCAGTTTTATAAAAATATTGAACGTTTCTACAGTTTTATAAAAATATTGAACGTGTCTGCAGATTTATAAAAAATATTGAACTTTTCTGCAATTTTATAAAAATATTTTCTGCAATTTTGCAATATTACTAATTATTATAATTGTAAATATATTTTACATGGTTACTAATTTTTAGCATAAATTTTAGTTCTAGTTTTTATCTGAAATTTGATTATATATATATACATATATATACAGAAAATAATATTGCAAAAATCACCTTCTTATAAACAAACATCTGAAATCCTTTAACATTTATTTGCCTTCACAAACACAATTTTAAAACACTTTTTTAAATAAATAGTTTATAAAGCAAATGCTTATTGTATTTATAAATTAATTGCCCTTAATAGAAACCAAATAAGCACAATTTGTTTAAACACTTTTGTAAAAAAAGAAATAAAGTAATAATAAAAGCACTTGATTGAATCACAAACGGAATACTAAACTAATAATTGATTTATCAAATTGTAACAACACTTGTGTTATGTACAAATAGTCACTATAAATTTGTAAAATATATGAAACTGTTATATTTAATTAATAACTAACAAAACGTAGAACTTATTTATCTGATAACAAAATAAAGCACTAAAAGTATTTAGTTATTTATTTAATTTATTACGAAAAATATTTCAAGTGGTTTGTGTGCACAGTCGGTGCGTCAAGTGTTTCTTCGAATTTTTTCTAAAGAAACGAATTAAATTCGAAAGGAGGGGACCTCAGGTCAAAAACAGGTTCTTGCATGTCCTTTATATATATATACACACATATTATATACACATAAATCAACATACACCTGTAATGATAGACACCTGTACCCCGAGACCGATGATGGTGCAAATCGAATTACACTTTTCGTACTAATAATAATGTTATTTAAAACTAGATCTAAGGTATTTTAACCCTGAATAATAATACTTGAACTAAGAGAAAAATACTACATGATATGTTTCATTAAATGATGTAATAGTGAAAAAAAGTGGGCTAGCAAATCCTAATCTTGGGTTCGAGTCAACCTCAGCCATCTCGGTATCAAGAAGTATCATACCAGACTTTTACCAGATGGTAGATCTTAAGTAAAAACTTAAAGGGATTATTTTTTGGTCAATTTATTAAGCAACAATACAAGGACTACATAATTGAGGAAATATAACTAATACAAGATAAAACAAAACTAGTTGAAAGTGGTATTTAGCCTTTAAGCATGAACTTTTCGAATGTGTAAGAACTGACTTTTAATTTTCTCAAACTTTGATGAATTTTTAAAATTAAACGACTTGTCGCAAGGCCGTAATATTTCAGTAAGTTCTATAAGACCATGATATACATCGCTAAAAAAGTTCCATAAACATCGTCTTAACTTTTTTTTTCATCAGTTAATTACAAGAAAACGGCTCGGTAGATTTTCACCTAAAACTAATCAGTATCATTCCCAACTAATATCTTTCGAACAGTTTTTGATTTTTTTAAATAGATTCGGTAGTTTGAGCTTAAATGTGGACGAAAAGTTTAACACTTTTTTCCAAATTACAAAGAAACGGGTCGGCAGATCGTCGAACAAAACTGACAAGCGATAAGACTCATCAAGATACATCAAATGGCTTTTAAATTTCTGAAATCGGTTCAGGCGTTTTTGAGAAAATGTCGATGAAAGGTCTAATTTTGACAAATGCCAAAAAAACGATACCAATTTTTGCAAACTTTGACGAATTTTTAAAGTTAAACGAGTTGTCGTAGGGCCGTAATATTTTAGTGTGATCTAGAACAGGGCTTCTTAAACTTTTTTATATAGCGACCCCCTTCAAGCTTAGGAAATTTTATACGACCCCCTATTTTACTATGTAAATAAAATAAGGATTGAAGAATATGTACCCATTCATGTTATATATAATTGGAATCGTTGACATAAAACTATATATATATATATATATATATATATATATATATATACAGGGCCGGTCCTGGGGTCCTTAGCGCCCGCATGCAACTTTTTTTCTAGCGCCCCCCCTCCCTATTAATATTAACTGTTTTAAGAGTTTATCATTTAAATTATATAAATATCTACATATTTTTTAAAAATTAATTTTTAATTATTCTGGTTTTAGTACACAAAACATTAGATATAATCTAAAAGTGTATAAAATATATTGATTTTAAATTTATTTAGAAAATCGTGGCGTTTCGCGGGTTGATTATAATCAAATATTTTTAAAATTTCAATTATTTTTAACAATATTAATATTTGGGTTTTTTATTATGCAATTTATTCTATTTAGCAAATCATGCCACGTTGGATTTTTGAAATTTTAATTTAATTTAATTTTTCATCATTTACAATATCCAAAATTGCGTCGTAAACTTTTCTTTATTGATATCGTAAGAGCCGAATTGTATTTATCCTTGTTTTTCGTCATATTCAGAGTATCAGTTTGTTGTTTTAAAGTTAAATTTTTAACTTATTTTAAAAGTATTGTCCAAAAATCAGTAAAAAAAATTAAAATTAAGAAACTACACATTTCTTGAAATATATTAAAAAAAACTTATTATATTTCTGCATAGTTAATAATGATTAAATTTAGAGTATGGACACCGCTAAGTATAAGGCCTTAAGATTTTCGTTACAAAGTAAATTTTGCTTTCATTTTTTATATTTGTTCCATTTCCATAACCCTAACCAAGCTTGTTTTCAACATTCAAAATTCATCAGAAGCGAAACATTTGCAACAAAAACAAAAGTTACAATTTAATTTCTCGGAATAAACATGCCATTTTTCAAGCACTCACTCCCCATTTTTATTTTCCCCATTATAAGTTGTTTATATTTTTTAACAAATTCCGTTTCAACTAAATCAGCTCGCAATTTTTCGTCAATAATGCCCAATAATTAATTTTATTTTTCGTAGGTTTGAGCTTATGGGATTGAACACTAGACAATTTCTTTTTCGATTCCACAGTAACTTTATACAAAGAAAAAATTGAATAAGTGAATTAAGCAATGAACAGAGCTGTTATTTACTAATTTGCAGAATTACTAATCGGTTAATTGTTTCTACTGATATCACATTGCAAAATAAATGCTTTTTGTATCTCCGTATCCCTAATTAAGTTAGATTGTTTATTATCATTTATTAAGTATTCTAGATTTTATATAAATAATTCTAGATTTCATATAAAAAATATAAATATTATATTATAAATTTAATTTCCGAAACTCGTTTTGGCGCCCCCTAAGGCGTGCGCCCGCATTTTTTGCATGCATCGCATGCAAGGCAGGACCGGCCCTGTATATATATATATATATATATATATATTTATTCAATAAAAAAATAAACTCTTGTAACAAATTTTTTATAAGAAAACATAAAACTATATCAACATATTCAATAGAAAAAATAAAATTTTGTAACATTTTTTTAATGAAAACCTATTATAAACATCAAACAATATTAATGTGATGAATGTGATTGTTTATTTTTACACAAATAATTAAATCTAGGCTCAATTTAAGTTAGTGCAGATCGTAATAAATTTTCAACGTATATTAAAGTTGAACGGTATTTTGATTTTATGTAAGTTAATGTAGAAGAGGCTGATTCACATAAATATGTTGCACAAAATGGCAGTAATTTGTTTATTGCCATTTCCGATAGTAGGGAATATTCTGATTTGATTTCGAACCAAAATTCATACACCGACAGTTGAAAAAATCTGAGTCGCAAGGAAGTATCACTTGTTAATTCGGTAAATTCTTTTTGTGCTTTTAAGTTTGAGAAATTAATTTTTTCCATTTTAATTGAAAATGGATTGCAAATCCATTGTTGTGTATCGATATCATTGAGAAAATACCTATGCTTCCATATTCTTCAAATGGTTAACTATAATTTTTGTTATAGGAGTATCTTTTTTTGAAATATTGTTACTAATTATATACTCGTCAATTAATGGAAACATTTCGAGCGATCCACTTTCTACACTGTTTTTCCATATAAGAAATATTTTAACAAAGTTCTCAAGTTTATTTTTTAACATAAACATATTAACGCAGACTCCCTGCATTGATAAATTCATATCATTGATTTTATCAAAAATATTGGCCAAATAGCATAGCTTGAGAAGCCATAAATTATCGTGGAAATAGTCGGCCTAATAATACTAATTTTAAAATTTTGTTTATAATGATTGAAAAGTATCAGATCTTTGCGACCCCTTATTAGTAGTCCCGCGACCCCCCTGGGGGTCGCGACCCCCACTTTAAGAAGGCCTGATCTAGAAGACTATGGTATCTATCGTTAAAAAAATAATCATAAAAATCGTCGAAATTTTTTTTTAACACTGTATTACAAGAAAACGGCCGGGCCGATCTTTACCAAAAACTAATCAGCACGGTTCCCAACCAATATATTTCAAATGGTTTTTGAATTTTCATAATCGATTCAGAATTGCCGGCTAAAACATGGACGAAATTTTTTTCACTTTTCTGCGTTTTACAAAGAAACGGCTCGGCCGATCGTCGCACAAAACTCAAAAACGCTAGTCCTTATGGCGATACATCGAATGGCTTTTAAATTTTTGAAATCGGTCCAGCCGTTTTTGAGAAAACGTCGATTTACGGCAAAAAATCTGTTCACATACACACACACACACATACTTTTTCCTTAAATTTGGTCTCATTCGATTCAGAATGGCTTGAAACGTCGAGAAAACATAAAATTAGCGAATCGGATTTTTTGATGAAAACATAAGCTTCTCCTTCGGGAAGTTTAAAAATAAAGAAAGTATTATTCTTTCTACAAAAAAGTGAGCTTTTTTCATACTGGAAAGATGAATTACTTTCTCAACGACCTTATATTTATATACATGTGGGCGTATGTGTAGGTATAGATGTGTGTATAATTACGATTAATGTCTTCTAAAACACAATTGCGTGTTTTAACAAATCGTGGGAAAGCGTCCGAGGAAAAATCGCGTTCCGCTAGGTGCACCTCGGGACGAGACCGTCATCGACCCATCAGATCAGTACACACGAATTAATTTACACACTGAAAAAGACCCTAACTAAAAAAAAGGAATTGACTAGGGTTCTATCCAATTAAAGGTACTGAATCAATATTACAACTGACGAAATATATCATATTTTCTAACATTTTCCTAGAAGACTTCTACTTATATATATTTATACTAGCTGACCCGGCAAACGTTTTGCTAGGTAAGGTATATTCTTAACAATTTCTAGAGAATCAAAAATATTAATTCTTTAAGTGTATAAGGATGCCTTGATTATAAAACCAATAAACCCCATTAGTTTGTCTATATTTTGTCCAAACAATCAAACTGGAAGTTTTATATACTTTCTATAGAAAACATGGTATAATCCAATCCAAGCCTTTTTTGGTCTTTCGACTTATTGATTACGTTTCAAGTTTCTCAGATTCTTTTTGGATTCTGCATTTTGTGTATAATTGTAAAAAATACTACTGAGCTTATAAAAAATTTTCAAATTTCTCCGAGTACGCAAAAAGGAGGAAAATGCATTACACTATTTAACTGAATGTGGTAAAAAGAAAATTATATGGGATTGGATGAAAACAAAATTAAAAATCTCGAAAATAGATGTAACTGAAGATGAAGATAAACTTATCAAAATAGATATACAATATAAATCAAAGGAAGAAAATGATGTTAAAATTTGGCTGGTATCTGGAATTTTTTATATAATTTATATCATGGTTTTGAAGAAATAACACTCATTGAGAGGAATGTAAGAGAAAAGAGGAAAGAATATTTTTTGAAGAATAGTTATATAAATCCACTTATGTATAAAATATTGTAAAATAGAATGTATATATTTATTTATGTAAAATTAAAATAAAAAAAGGAGAGAGAAAATGAATTAAGTATTTCTTCTTTGACCTGCTTTTTGAAAAGTTTCCAGTAACATTCGATGAATTAAAGTAAATTTAATAAAAAGTATATATGTGGAGCAGGGCGAGGCACAAAGGTCCAATTTGACTTTGAGCAAATATTAAATATATTATAAAAATCAAATAAATTATATCACAACAAATAATACATTTCAAACGAACAATCGTCTGACTAAGTTCAGTAAAACTGCCAGATACTTCATCATTGTAGAAATGTTAATGTCTAAAAAATTTGTTATCTAGACATTTTTACCCCATAGACGGGGTAACTTGGAACGGCTAGGAGGCAAACAGGTTTAATGTCTTATTTTACAAAAGGTATTTTACGAAATAATTACATTTTTAACTAATGCTAAAAAATTACTAACGGAAAAAATATACTTTTATTATGGATTTTCAAAGATTACAGTTTATCTCCCGCCAGCAAAGTCATGAGAATCAAGGTTATAGCTGGTTATACATCTTTTACCCTCTACTTTCAAATATTGTTGTTAAACAATGCTTAACTTTATTGATTTTTGACACATCGGTGGTAGACCTTTTTAACCCCGGATCTTCACATATTACTATCTATTCTTTCGTAATTTCTGGGAAATTATAACTGGGAAAATGTTATTCGACAAAATGCCCATTTGATCGATACCAAATTTAGGTTCTGAATTTGAATAACATAAATAAAAAATAATATAACTTAGAAAATGTTTTATAAATACCAATGAGTATATAATTATACAAATGAGATCTTTCAGAGCACCGTGTTTGAGAAAAATATGCCAAAAAGTGCATTTTCATATTAACATATCAAAAATGTTTTATATTTTGAGTCTCTAGTAACACTTGCGGCCCGTTTACTAACGTTTTTGTATATAAATAAAACTACAAACAAAATTACTTACTACAAATTTATCATAAATAAATAATATTCGCGTAAAACATCCTATTAAACGTAATTGAACATCATCTGTCAAAAACGTTTGACATTTGACGTATTAGCCACCGCCCAAAGTTTTATTTAAATTACGCTTCTACAAAAATTTCCAAATTAAAAATGTAAAGTTTCTACGCGATTTTGAAATAATATCTCACTTTTCTGACAATCTGCTGTTTAATTAACACGAATTTTTCAAGACTAAGACTGGCCAAATCGGTTTAGTCATTTTCGAGTTTTACCGAATCATTTGATCGAGAGCTACATTTTTATATATAAGATAATATATATATATATATATATATATATAAAATGATATTTCTACTCACTGTTCGTTTATCATCTCGTGGTAGAGCCTGGCCCTGTGCTCGGCCTCGGCCTTTTCGCGCATTTGAACTTCGCGCGCTTTTGGCAAATCCTCGCGAACCAGCGCATTGCGGTGCTTGTTTCCGGAATAGTGTTCAGAAACTGAAACAAAAATCGACTAATTAATACATTTGTGAGATTTAAAATATTCGCAGATAACAAAGGATATGATGAACAAAGTCCGTTGTCACACTCTAGTTGTTGAAGGAAACTATTTGGAACAATGAAAGTGGAATTAGAACAAAACAATCGGGGAATGATTCTGAAACGTTTTTTAGGATATATAGCTGCTAAAATAGCATCAAGTAATTTTGATTGAAATATAATTGATATTGAAATAAACTTGTAAATCGAATGTAATATGTTATAAATAGGAAATTGAAGTTTCAAGGGGCGCTTCAGAACAAACAGTTTGCACAAAACGTGTACAATTTGAATATGTTGTATACAAATACAAGTACTATGATGTCAAATACTAAAATTTGAAACTTTTCTCATCAAATTTTAAGATAATTAGACAACATTTGAACGAAGTACCGGGATCAAATAATGTCCTAAATAAGAAATTAAAATTTCAAGGAGCTCCTCAGGACAAACAATTTGCACAAAACGTGTATAATTTCAGTATGTTATACACTGCCACTATCACTATGGTATCAAATACTAAAATAGACAACTTTTCTCACAAAATTTTAAGTTATTTAGACAATATCTGAACAAGTGCCGGGATAAAACAAAGCTGTGCATACAAAATTAAAACTTCATGGAGATCCTCAGAACAAACAGTTTGCACAAAACGTGTACAATTTGAGTATGTTATACATTGACACACGTACTATGATGTCTAATACTAAAAATAAACAACTTTTAACACAAAATTTTGATATTTAGACAACATTTGAACGAAGTACCGGGATAAAACAATGTTATAAATAAGAAATTAAAATTTCATGGAGCTCCTCAGGACAAACAATTTGCACAAAACGTGTACAATTTGAGTGTGTTCTACACTAACACGCGTACTATGATGTCAAATACTAAAATTGACAACTTTTCTCACAAAATTCCGAGACATTTAGATAATATCTGAACAAAGTACCGAGATCAAATAATGTCCTAAATAAGAAATTTAAATTTCAAGGAGCTCCTCAGGACAAACAGTTTGCACAAAACGTGTACAATTTGAGTATGTCTTACACTGACACTCCTACTATGATGTCAAATACTAAAGTAGAAAATTTTCTTAAGAAAAATTTCAAGTTATTTAGATAATATCTAAACAAAGTACCGGGATAAAACAATGCTAAGCATACGAAATTAAAACTTCAAGGAGCTCCTCAGGACAAACAGTTTGCACAAAACATGTACAATTTGAGTATGTTGCACACTAACACACGTACTATGAAATTTTTGTTGCAACTGCTAATGCAAGATCAGGTAATTTTGATTTAAATATGAATAAAATAAGTCTGAGTGGCATTTACCTTTGACTTGTAAGTTAAATGTAAATATTAAACAACAAAATAGATATAACTATTTTAACTATTTTTATTCGAAAATAAAACTTCGACTTTAACTAAAAAACTAGTTAATGAGATTTCCAATAGATACCTCTCGAACACTATTATAATATCTGTAATCGAATTAATTAAAGTAAACAAAAACTTTTTTTACGTCCTAAAAGCACAGCCCATTATTGCAAATTTAAATGAGTTTATATAATTACTAGCACTCGCACTAAATCTTACTTTAGTAAGATTTTAACAATATTTCAGCAAAGTTTTATTACTAGTATGGTAATATTTTAGTTGCAATAAAGTTGGAATAAAATTAAAAGCAAGTTATAACAAAGTTGGAACAAAGTTAAAATCTAGTAAAAATCTAAGTATAATCTATCAATTAGAAGCTAACAAGATTATATTAAGTTTTCGACAAGAACATGATAAGATTTTGGTAAAAATCTAGCAGGGACCTTATTACAACCTAATAGGAAATTTGAACAAACTTTGGCAAGAGTTCAACCAGAATCTAATAAAAATTCTAGTTAGAATGCAGTTGAAATCTGATAAGAGTCAGAACAAAATTATGATAAAAATTTTGTAAGAAGCTGGCAAGAATCTAATTATACCCTTGTAAAAACGCACTGAGAATCTAGAACTTTATACGAATTTAGTAGAAATCTTGTAAGGGACTTATAAGAATCTCGTATAAACCCAATGACTATCCGATAACAATCTTATGACTTTGTAAATTTTGATTTTGTAAAATAAATACCGCTTGCTAAATTTTAAATAATTACAATTCTCAATTCCAAAAATTTTCGTTCTAATTACGATTTGATTGGCAACCCAATCGGCGTATGAAATTCTAGTAAATGATGTATTTAGCATAAATAAAACGGCAGAGTCATCTATAAATCATATCTAATTGTATTGGCAAATAATATAGATATAAATTTATTCTGATTATAAAGTTGGAACTAATATTTATTCTTTCGACGCAATGTGTGTTTGTAAAATTATAACGAAAACTGAGTCACCGATAACCGTTAAAAAATAAAGGAGAGACTGAAGCGTCCGGATTAGTATTTATTACTGGTTGTAAATGAATCATTTGAAATATATATATATATATATATATATTAAAATTTAAATGAAAAATAATTAAAATATGGACTTACTTTCTTTAGATTGTAGTTGGTACGCCAGCGCACCATCTTCCCTCACCAACCATTCTTTACAAACTGAAAATATAAAATAGAAACAAAAATTATATTTAACAATTCGTGATCAAAACATCCATTCAATTATTAAATTTAAGTTGATATTTAACGTAGAAAACATTTCGAGTTGTTATTCTACTCATATTCAGTAATAATAATCGCTGAATATAATTCGCAACGTCAAAACAAAAATATATAGCAAGGAAATTCAACAAGTTCT